TATAACGGAAGTTCAAACTATGCCACAGTGAAAAAGCATTTATTTGAAAAGTGAAAAATCACAGTAAAGAGTAACCGTACTAACCATGATATTTGAAAAAATATGAACGTCAAATTAAAAAAAAAATGTCGGACAAAACAGTTTTTGAAGAAAAAATCACCCTGTATTTTTTTTGTGTGAATTAATGGGATGCTTTCTACATACTTTATCTCCAGATCCCACTTCCAGTTTAGCCAAAAGTGCTTATGCTTTGAACATTTTTTTAAATTGATGTCACTACTGGCTAAACCGAAAGTGGAATGTGAAAAATAAGTAGGTATGTAGAAATCATCCCATCAATTATTGTTAGTATTAAAATTTACTGATTTTATATACAAATAGCCCAAAATAGTCCAATAATAAAGCTATGAAAGAAAAATTTTAATTGTAATCTCGAGACTCCAGACTACGCGAGACACTCGCCGATCTGGTCTCGTCTCAAAAAGTCGAAACGAGACGAAACGAGACGAGACAAGACCACTCTCGAGTCTCGCGGCATCACTATAAATTTCTTGATGGATTCAATCCTAATATTCAGTATATGAAAGTGGATCCCGAGAATACTTCAAATTTCTATCTTCGACTCGAATCATCAACAAATAGGTACATTTTCCGCATTCCATTCCATGATTCACCAAATTTTTCAATTCGCCAAGGTTCCTTCAATTTCATCAAAAAAAAAACATAATCAGATTTGAAAGATGATCCCAATGATGATTTTTTCTACAACTTCATTGGGCATGGATAGTAAATATCACTAAGGGAGGGTATTATAAAACTATTTTGACAGAATAACTGAAAGTTAACTCCTGGAATGACGTCACTTCTCATAGTAATTCCAGAAGTTAACTTTTAGTTATCTGTCAAAATAGTTTTATATTACCCACCCTAAAGGGAATGATTGAGTTCTCCAAGGATAAATCTATTATATAGGGTAGCAATTTTATTGCAGAATTTTGGAAAAAAAATCCTCGAATCACGTTCACTATAATTTGGAGGGGGATGAGTCACCTTTCCTAGCCCCCAGAACAACCCTTTAAAAATCTCAAAAATGATATATTATTTCAAACCTCTTTTAGCCCTTATTTAAACTGACAAGTTTGAAGTCTCTACTGTCATCCCCGTTGTTGAGAGATGACACATTGTCATGAATCTGGAAGGCAGAGTTTATCGTTTCTAGTTAATTAATAATTGATCCCGAAAGTTTGCTACTTCAAATTTGGGTGGTGTAGTGTCTCATATTATTTATGTATTTTGGGAAAATACAAATTATGTTTGTACGCACCGTTTACCTGAATAGCGATGACGGTTCGATGACTTAGAGAATACAAAGGGGTTGTGTAATCTAAATATTTGATTAATCTGAGGATCGAACAGTTACTGTTAGACTGATAACCGGTGAGCATCACGTTAAAGACGTATAATTAGTTTGTCGTGTTAGTGATTAATATACGAGTTAAAACATTAGATTGTGTGTGTTTATCTCACCCAATAAAGGAGTACTACAGGTGGCATGATTGATGTGATGAGGGATTAAAAAAAAAAAACAGTTTAAATTATTGAAAAAAAGGCAGAAGCCTCATGGTGCGTCTAAACATTTCTTGTTAACTCTCTCTCCAGCATGAAATTTAAAAAGCGCAATTTTAAAACTTAGAAAACTAAATACACGGAAGTAACAAAACAGAACAAATTTGCATTAAAAGTTAAGTAAATACCATTTGTTCTTAAAATAACCATTCCCTATAGAAGTATTAAGTTATAAATAATTTTATTGCACTTCTCGTAACTCTAAACTCATAATAATTGAGGTGAACTGCAACTAATGTGTAGGTACTTTGTGATTTGTCACGTACTTTCATAAATTGGCGTTATGGCTGTTTCGTGGTCTAACAACAACTTCAGATCCGCCTCTATTCATTTTAGTTTAAAAAATGTTTTGTCGCAAAGTGCCTATAACAAATGAAAAACTGCATACAGCCTTCTCAAAATTCTAAGTAGGATTTTAAGTAGAAATTGTTAAATCATGGCAGTTAGGAGAAAAAGCTATTATTATTCGATTTAGAACCGAATGAATGGCTGCTACAATAAAGCTGGTAAACACTCATCAGAAAATTTGAAAGATTACGAGTGAACAATGAAGGTGTTCCATTTTGTTATGTTTTAAACCCAAAATTGAAAAGAAACTGGATTATTTTTCCATCCACTACTTGATGTACTCTTCCAACGTGTCCAATCATTATCCCATACCCATGGATAAAGAGACCTTATTTCTTCAAAGTAACTTGCAAGATAGCAAAGGGGCGAGCTTCTTAATAAATCGTCACATTGCTATGGGGCAGACACATGTATACCTCCTAAAAGAACCTTGGGCATACAAGGATCGCGTAAGAGGATTAGGCAGAGTGGAAAGATCTCTTTTCTATAAAAGGGACATCCAACTGAACCCAAGGACTTGAATCTATGTCGACAGACGGATCGAGTCCACTCTAATCGCTAACTTCTGCTCTAGAAACCTAGTAGCGGTACAGCTATGCCTCAAGGACAGACTGGGACAGAGCAGATTGATAGTAGTTTGCTCGGCCTATCTGCCTTATGACTCAACAGATGATCCCCAACACGGGAGTTCATCGATTTGGTGGAGTACTGTAACTCACTGGACCTCCGTTGATTGTCGGATGCGATGCCAACGCACACCACATGGTGTGGGGCAGCACCAATACGAACCGGAGAGGGCTTCGTCTTCTAAAGCACCTTCACACCATGGATTTAGAAATGCTGAACCGTGGCAGCGCACCGACCTTTGTCACTTCGCGTAGACAAGAGGTCATAGACTTGACATTGGGCTCACTCTCCATAGTACCGATGATAAGAAAATGGACAGTGTCTGACGAACCGTCCCTATCGGATCACAGACACATCCGATTCAGCTTGGATAATATTGATCACAAGGCTGGGCCCTGTAAGTTCAGGAACCCCCGGAACACGAACTAGGGCCAATATATTGAGCGCAAGGCAAGTGGAGGAAGCAGCCGAATTCATGTGCAAAGCAATTACCGATGCGTATGAACGAAGCTGTGAGCTTCGGACCCATCGAGGAAAGAAGAAAACCCCTTGGTGGAACTCCGACATCGCAAGTCTCGTAAAGAAACCTGTAGGCTCTTTAACAGGGTCATACGTCTAAATCATTAGCTGACTGGGACAGCCACAAGCAGTCTCAGCGCAGATACAAAGATCTTATGAGAAGGTCCAAAAGAGAATCGTGGAAGACGTCCTGCAGAAACGTAGACGAGCTTCCAGCAGCCGCCAAGCTCCAAAAGATTCTCTCGAAAGACCCAGGACGAGAGCTGGGGTCACTAAGGCTTCCCTCCGGTAGTTAGCGCTACCGCAGGGGAGGCACTTTGTTGGCTCTTGGAAACACACTTTCCGGGCTCTGAAATCCTACAAACTGATGAACCACCTGCCTGGTAAAAGCCAAGATCAGGAACCGATGTAACAACCAACCGGTTCCAAGACGAATGGCTGGAACAGGAAGGCCTCAGACACAAGGTCCTTCAAACTGCAAAGTGGCAAAAAGCCTCCTGAAACTGAACAGGAGCCAACTAACAGTCATCACAGGTGTCCTGACAGGACACTGAGTGGTCAAATACCACCTACACAAAATTGGACTCAGCAGTGAGACGGAATGTAGGTTCTGCAGCGAAGTAGATGAAACTACCAAGCATATAGTCTGCGAATGTGACACCCTCGTCAGTCGCAGACTACGATACCTCGGGTACAGTTTCCTAGAACCTGATGAAATAATGCATGTCCGGCCTGAGCGGGTCTGCACCTTTCTCAACAGTTACGGGCTCCTAAGGTGAGATAGGGCTGCACCAAGAGGGAGATAGCAATGGACCACATGCGCGTCTACGGGCTGCCTATAAAGGCTCCCCTTTCAACTCAATCAAATCAATGAAACAAAATATAGGTATTTGAAGCCAATCTTGGAAATCCACCATAGCAGCGACAATCTGACAACGTTACAATATTAATTCATTTGCAGTATATTATTGCTTGTTGTAGCGAATGACGTCATACTCGGTGAGCGTTTCGTCGTTTGAAATTATTTCCGTTATTTGATTCAGTTTTTCAAGCTTTATCGTGTGACCTAAATAAATTTGATGACTTTTTCAATAGTTTTAATCAGATTTGAATTCACTCTGATTCTTAATTGGTTCGATGCTGTCTATCCTTCTTTTAGCATAAGGTCGTTTGTATCTCTGTAAATGATTATGATGTAATAGGTGTAATCAGACACCAAGGTTGACCAGACACCATCTATATTTATATTTATTTTACCATGGCAAACATCTTGGAATGCGATGATGAACAAATCGGTAGGTATTGCATCGTCTTTGCAAATCCTAAACTGTAGTGAAGCATTATCGTATATTGTGTTTTTATAAGGCTTGAAGATTTAGTTTTCATTGCTCCCAGAATTGTAGAAGAGAGAAGAATTGTTGGAATTTACTAGTACCAAGAGTGGTGTGTAGGAAAGGAGTGCAGAAGATGGACTCACGTCCTTTGTTCCATCTCCTCAACTATATTGGAGACCACGTTCTGTAGATGGAGTTTGGCTTATGGTTCACAGAAACACAAACAACAAATCTTAAAACCACCCACAATCGACCACGAGGACGAAGAAGTGGAGATCTTTATCGAAGACATCACGGGCTACAACAAGACAGAGCTCACTGTTTAATCCTTTTGGATTATGATGAAGCGCAACTGTTAGGTTACGGAGAGAAAAATCGTCGAGCAGGTAGGTTTTTGAATTTGTTCTTCAACAAAAACTGCACGCCATGAACCTCTTCTTTAAAAAGCTCAATTCGTTAATGGTTCAAGTCAAGCCCAAATGATACAACGACGAACGAAATCAACTTTATTGGCTCAGAGAAAAAGTATATCATCCAAGGCCAAAAATGATGTCAAAGATCCAGGATAAAAAATGGACGATAAAGAATAAGGCGTCATATGAAGACGAAATGGCAATAAAGCTGAGAAACTTAAAATATTCCAGGGACGATGAACCCAGTGAAAATATCCCGTAAGAACGAGAAATAATGAAGAAAATGAGGGATAGATAAAAGAGGAATAGTGATGCATTTAAACAACTAAATAGAGAAATTTCCATCTGCCAGAAAAGACGCTAAAAATTATAGGTAATGAGAAACCCATATCGCAACTAATTGAAGGAATGGGAGCTTAAAAGTGCTGAGGAGAAGCCTCAAGGAATAGAAGGCCGAATAAACATCTGTAGACTCGTTGATACAGATGGCAACATTCAGACAGATAAAACAGGAGTTCCTTTCTGAGATGGTGATTGTCCTCGAAAAACGGATACCTTAGATATATCATAATAAATCGAACCATTTGAGGTGTGCATTCAAAAACGAACCACTCTCAACCAGTTTATTTTCAATTTTCAGTTTTAACGAACAATTAATGCTTGGAACTCTTCACAATTCCAACCTATATAATTTCTATTGCAACAATTTCCCAATTACTTATGTTAACAACATAGACTATACACCCAAAAAGGGCATAATTCACCATCAATTTCCAATTGAACATTTCAAAATATTTATAGCGACATAATTTGAAATTAGGTATTCGCGTTTTCATAATGGAATTTCCATTTCTTGCATCCGTATTTAGGTAAAAATTTCGAAACATCCTTGAGCAAGCTTTGGCTCGTGCTAGTCACAAGAGTTAACGCCTTTTACATCGAACGCCATTTATTTCTCAAGACCTGAGCTTATGGTCCATGTGTTAATGTAAATGATTATGTGTAGTGAATTGCAAACAAGCGCTCTTGTGTTTTTTTTTCAAAATATCTTGTAAGGATAGTGGTTGTCAGTTGTATGAAAATTAGACATATAGGCTATTTTCCACTAATGTTATTATAGGGTAATCTTATTCAAATTGAGTCAAGATATTTTATTTAACCCAGCTCTGATATATATAGGTATTCCTTTAGTAAAACAAGTAAAACTATTATTTATTGGAGTTCCACATAATGTTGATATTAAAAGATTATAGATAATTTGCTTAATTATTATTGCATCAATTATGCAAGTGAAGTCGACTACAGGTAAGCTCATTAGCAAGTTTTAATTAACTGTTATAAAGTACAAACTTCAAAATACGTAATATAATTATTGGTGAAGTATAAAAAATCGTATGGTGCCTCCCAGATCGGGGACAAGAAGTATGCTCGCCAAAGGCCTTTCCAAAACCAAAAGAAAACAACCTGTAATTCTTTGAATAATCAGTAATTTATTTGGGTGGTTAAGTAAAATATGGCTTAAAAACACGTCATGCCCATATATGATTTATAACGGGATCGAAAAAAACTACTCGATTTTGTGTCAGTAAATTAAATCGTGGCGATTTCATTGCATTACTTGCATACATGTGTCCTTACTAGTTTATTTAATGACCATTATTGCTGCTACTGGTATTTGCTGTTGAAAACTAAGTCTAAAGACATAATATTATTGATTGGTTCATTAATTATTTATGGAATAATCGAGTATGAATGTTTGCATTTGTCTTCTGTCATTAATGATCGAGTCAAGAAATTCTGATTATTATTTCTTAAAAAAAATATAACGAACTCAGATCCGATAAATACGAAAATCTAAATTTCAATTTTTTCCTAATAAATAATGTTAAGTTATGTCCATCGATTTTGAAAATAGCCGACCTATTGACCCACAAAAGCATATATTATCATTAAATTATCATTGCAAAAATGGATATTTTGAATTATATGCTAATGTTTGGACTGTATTTCAAAGTTATCAGACGGTTACTACATGAGCCGACCAATAAATTTACGTTTTAAAATATTGCTGAATAAACTTTAACCTGTTTCTATGTATAAAGATGATTGGCTATGAAGTTGGGAAATAATGCTTAAGTCTAAATATTTTAGATTTTGATGAGGAAATTATTTATTGACGAATCGAATAAGTAAGAAATAAATTATCCGTTAAGAATAGAAATGAATAGCATTAAAGCAAGAAAACAAAAATTATACACAGAATACAAAAAATAACAAAGCAGTTGGTCCAGACGAAATCTTATCACAGGGATTAAAGCATCAGATAAAATATTTAAATTTCATCCCTTAGAATTCAAGATGGCGGCAATTTTAAATTATTCTCAAAAACAATATATGTTATTATTTTTTCATAAATTCATTACATGCATATATTATGAATGATCTTTTGATTGAAATTGATATACAGGGTGTTCATTTTAAAACTTACTACCCCTTTTATCTCGGAAATAAGAAATTATCGAAAAAATTCCTGAAGCACCTCAACTATAATTTAGGGAGGGATGAGTTTTTATGCAAAATTCACCTACACCCTTTCAACCCCCCAGCCTCCTGAGCCACGCCCTAGAAAATCTTAAATGGGAAGGGGGGTCAAGTGATACATCATTTTGGAGGTTTTTAATTCCGTACATTTTGGTACTAAATTTCAATACCTAAATTCAACTTTTGGAAATATTGACAGTTGAAAACCGACTATGGTTAAATTCAAAGTTGGTGTCAAATGATAGTTTATGAAAATCTAAAATAGGAACGTAAAATCGGTTTTCCTCTAAAATTAACCGTTTAAGTTTTACAGCCTGTCAAAGTTGCAAAAAAGTCAATTTTCAACTGTCAATATTTCCAAAAAACCCTCCAAATTGATGTATCAGTTGACCCCCCTTTCTATTTAAGATTTTGTAGGTGGTGGCTCTAGGGGCTGGGGGGAAGGTGAATTTTTCATGAAAACTCATCCCCCTCCAAATTATAGTTGACGTGTTTCAAGGATTTTTTCGAAAATTTTCAACTCCAAGATGAAAGGGGTGGTAAGTTTTAAAACGAACATCCTGTATAACATAATGTTTGAAGCTATATATTACCGAAAAACTAATTGCATGGAGCATGCTAGTGGCGGAGCCCCGAAAAAATTTAAAAAAAAAACAAGTTGCGAATCGCAAAAAAGCAAAAGTCTGTTAAACTTTATTTTCTCAAATATGGCCCAATGATTTTATATTAAATATCTTCTTCAAACGGCGAGTTTTCACCTATCCCCCTTAGTTAGTGTGTCTATTACATATTGGATAAAGCCAAAAGTAAGTACGTATTCCGTATTTATCCGATTTTTTCAGGATTACACAGTATCGTTGTCCAATTCCTTTTAAGTATTCCATGCCGTGGAAGTTTGTTGATAAAATAAAATAAAATATAGAAAAAACCATAACAGAACAAAACATTTAGTAACAACCTTACAAGAATTTATTTCCTAAGTACATATTTATTGCATTTAACAGTGACTATGGCACATGTCAAAAATGTAAGAACAACAAATTGTAGTGGGTTGGCTCAAACTCATTTCTCAGTCTACTGGGCACGTTGTTGCTTGTGCCAGTCTTCAGAGTTTCAAAATCTTATTTGCCCTGGCAAAGATCCAATCCAGCTAAACGCAATTCGGGCTATCAAACTTTGACTTCTCATTAAGATAAACTTTCTGGTTTTAAATACATATTACCATCAACTTTTCTAGTAAGTAGTTTAAACGGAGGTGGAATTCTCTCCACATTTATATCAAAAGAAGCCAAGTGGCACAAGGATTGCTATGCCATGTATTTTGGGAAGAAGTTAAAGAAACTTGAAGAGAAGCGTAAAAAATCATTTGGAATCTGATTCGAGTGCCAGCAGTTTCTCACATGATACTCGCTCTTCAGTGCCTTCGTTTGAGGAGATGTTGTGTTTTGTTTGTTTACAACCAGAAGCATGGAATCAGCCTCTCCACAATGTGGAAACAGAAAATGTATTTCATCACATTACAACTTGTGCAGAGTTTCTACAAGACTCAATGCTTCTAACAACTTTAAGCGCTGGCAACCTCGTTGCTCAAGAAGCTAAATATTACACAATTTGCGTCACTCGGTTGTATAATAAATGCATGATAATCCAAACAGAGCAAGATACAGGCACTAACTTGTGTGAAGGCCTTGATTTCTTAGATTTGTTGGCATTTATACGCTTAAAAATGGAAAGCCAAAAAAAATTTACCAAGAGGGGCTCTCACATCTCAGTGGCAGACCAACTGATCAGATGTCACCTCCTCACTCTACTCGTTTTCGATGTAAAATATCAGCTTACGTACCCGAGCTCAAAGAACACAAATGCTGGGCGAGAACATACATATACCTATAGTCCCCGCCACAGATAATTGAGATTCCTACAAAAATATATTTCTTTGTCGGTGATGCCCGGATAAACATAAACCGCTGCAAAAACTCTATAGATAAGGGTTGAGAATAAATTTAGTCCAAGAGCATCAATTTTTTGTTTTTGTTTATCCGGGGCATCGCCGGCAAAGAAATCATTTTTTGTAGGAATCTCGATTATCTGTGGCGGGGACCATACTCAAAAATTAATGCAAATATCCATTGCAAAATTAATCCAGAAGACTTTGATGGCGACGCCATTGCCTTTCAAAGATTTATAAGAAATTTGAGAAATACTATACTAGAAGAACGTGTCGAGTTTACAGGAAAATTGGTAGATCCTGTTGAAGAGATATCAGCTGCCTTGTTAGCTGTAGTAACATGTTTATGGAAGTTCTTTGGGTTCCAACCAAACCTCTAAGCCCGAAACAACAATCTCTCAGCTGATAATGTATAACGTCCATAAACGAATTCCAAAAGCCGAAGTTGCCACAGTCTGCCGAAGTCTGCCACACAAGATCATGTGAACCAAATCTTCCAATTTAGGTACTTAGGAATTTAGATGTAGAAAGCTTATAACCAAATTGCACGAATTTGGTATTGCGATTTCCTACGATCGAGTTTTGGAGATAACTTCAAGCTTTTGTTACTTAGTTACTGAAAGATCGAAGGAAGAAAACTTGGTTTGTCCGTTTGATTTGAAAAAAGGCCTATTTTCAATAGCAGCTATTGATAATTTAGAGCATAACCCCAGTAGTACTAGGTACTTCAAGAGACTCTTTCGACGACACAAGCCTTTCTTTATTTCAAACGGCAACCGATGAAAATCAAGGAGTTGAAAGATCCTTTGAAACATCATATATTGATGTTCAAAAACCTCATCAGCGTGATGTTCCACACCTTCCAGAAAATTACGCCTTTGTTCCAGATTATGGTGCTGTACAATAAACGTCCTAGTGTTCCCAAATGTACAAATAAAATTGGGAATCAACTTATATCTTCAGGTAAATGATTTTGAATATTTAGAAAATAGTTTTGACTTGATCTTCATTTCATAACCTCTAACAATGTCATGGACCAAAAACAGCGAATGGTTCGAGAAAGTCCACGAAAACGTTGTTAGACAAAATGATGCCTTGGAAAATTTATCAAGAGGTGCTTTTCATGCTTCGAATTTACAAGACTAAAAAAGAATTTCCGGCGTCGGCGCATTATTACCACTTTTTCATGAGCATGCCGGTACTGCTTCAATGATTCACCATGGAATGAATATCATAAAAAAACTTACAGAATATTTAAATTCTGATCAAATACCAACTTTATGTGCTGATCAACCATTGTATACTTTGGGTAAAATAATCCAGTAACTGTACAGATCAATTTGGCGAAGTTAAATTCGTACTTTTATTTGGTCCGCCTCACATTAAACAAAAATTTTTTACATGTCAGTGGCCAACTGTTAGAAGATAGCGGCTGGCTGAAAATAGAAGCAAACTCAAGAATTATTGAAAATGAATTAGCAGAAGGCGTTGTCAAGGTATATCATTTTAAAACTAAGTTCAATCGCGTGAATTGCACGATAGCAAGTAACCAATGAATACTGTACTCTTTCTTGTAGGTTACTCACATTACGAAGGCACGGTTTATGCATCAAAACTCTGCTTTACAGTTTGATAATTGAGGCCTATGAGATGGAAAATCCAGAAAGACGGAAACCAATTGAGGAATGGTTATCACAAACATCGCTTAAATCGCCAACCGTTATGTTCTGGCTGATGGTTTTCAGTTTTGAATTTCTCCTATTTAAGGAGATTTTACGGCAAATGATACCATGGTTTTTCGTTTTCGATTATACGAATTAAGGCCGGGACACATCTATCATGCATTCTTCCGATCCGACTCCGATCATACAATCAAGGTCCTTATTCTTGGGACAGGGGAGCAGCGGAACACTCGTTCTCCTGGGAACGCTGCTCTCTGTTCCAAGAATAAGTACCCTGATTGTATGATCGGAGTCGGATCCGAAGAATGCATGATAGATGTGTCCCGGGCTTCACACACGATGGTTAGCAGTTCATTTAAAGGAGAAGATTTGGAAGTGAAAGCTCCCGAGTTTTGTGAACGTTTGTAAATAAAGGAATATTTTGACTATAACATGGTAATATTTAGTAATTAACAACATTCCTAGGCAATTTTGTAATTCGCAAGTCGTCTGGGCCATTTTTAGTATTAGCGAAAGATCAAGCTCATTAGCATTGGTAAAAGAATAAGGGGGAGTTATTGGCCTCACTCAAGATCCAGGATCTCTGCGACGCTTTACTGTTGCTGGTCCACAAATAAGTTATATTTTGAAAGAATATGTATCTCAAATATTTATACCAGCTGTAAAAAAAGACATCATGAAAATCATCCAGCTTTTCAGAGAAAATACGTCGAATATTGTATTGCAATGAAAGACAGCTTTACACAAATGGGTAACCCATTTCTAGAACACGGCCAAGAACTGGTAGCTCTGGATACCCGGGTAGTTGCAGCAAAAGCCTCGGCCGAAGCTTTATATAGTTTGGAAAAATCCGGTAAAGGGATATATGAATCATTTATTAAAGAAAGATTTGTAGAAGGTACAAAATCTATTCATGACCCCATAAAAAAAAATACAGATATTCTCTACGCATCTAAAAAAGTCTGCAAGTACAATGAGAGAAAATAATTTAAAGGGTGAAGTCCAGCTATTTTCAAGGCTCTTTATAATTACAAGGGAACGTCAGCTTGATATAGACGTTTTTTTTTTTTACGTATGAGAATCATAGATATCCGCCCTCGCTATCGGCGAACGGACTTCTTCTCCAAGGAACGAAAGCGAACTTGGCCGAAACGATGGAGTCTTTAGGAGGTGCACATAATATTCCTGAAATTTTTGATTGCATTGTTTAAAACGGCGCAGTATTAGTTCAAATGATAAGACCTAGAAATTCGAAAAACATTTCGTCAGTATTTTCATATAGACCTGAAGGTCTATGTTATGCTTGATGTTCAGAAAACAAAATCTGAAAGGCTTGATTTCGTTTGGGATTTCTATTTGCCAAATAGTTTAAAAAGACAGGAAATACTGAGGAAGCTGATGCTCGTCTAGTCTGGCACGCAAGAGATATGGCAGAACATGGTGCTAGACGTGTATTGGTAAGGTCTTCAGTCACCGATGTCTTGGTTTTATTTGTTTCCTATTTTGGTATTCTAAAAGAGATTGGATTAGAAGAGTTGTGGATGCTGACCGGAACACGAACAAAACGTCGATATGTACCGGTGCATGCTATAGCAGCGGCTCTTGGTAGAGAGAAATCTGACGCCCTTCGTGGATTTTACGCTTACACTGGCAGCGACAGTACATCATATTTTGCTTCTGAGGGTAATAAAACGTGTTTTAATACGTTGCTCTCTCATACGGAGGTAACATCAGCTTTTGTCATGCTTTCGTCGCCGTTATCAGAAATGTCAGAGGAAAATATGAAACTCTTGGAACAATTCACTTTATTTTTATATGATCCTCATACTTCATACACGTCACTGCATAAACTACGCAATTCGTGCAATGTACCAAGCAGATCACTTATGTGAAAATGTGATGGCAAATGATCAGCCACCATCGCCATCCTTGTGGGGTTGGCAATTATCACATGAATCTTGGGTATCAGAATGGTTTAAAAAAAAATCAAATATGGAAAGGATCTACCATGCCTCGATCGTTGTGGCTGCAGAAAAGATTGCCACACAATGCGATGTGTGTGTCGCAAAATAATATGTATACAGGGTGGGCCAGCGAAAACGAAACAAGGTCGATATCTCGTATTCATCGTTCATTGAAAAAAATCGCTCGGACCCGTGGATTTTTATTCGGAGGGGGAAATCTTTTGCACATATTTTCAATGTTATCACTTCAACCCTCTCGCGGGGGTGAGCTTTAACCCTTAAATCTTAAATGGCAGTAGGGGTCAAGCGATACCTCATTTCAAAGGTCATCGAATTCTCTTTTCAACGGTGCCTATTTTTTTGAATTTACTGAGTTTTTTTTTTCAAAAGATATTTAAAATAAGAATGTATTCAGTTGAATTTTATTGAGTGATAAAAAAAAACTAGACTTTATCCTTGTGATTTCAAGCTGGATAGCACACGACTTCAAAAAAAAAAACACATAAAATCACCTCTTAAGAAAAAATTGTTATAGCTACAAAATTGATAGTGCTCAAAATGACTAAAACAGTACTAGTTTCGTCTATTTTTGAATGTGTTTTTTCGAAAACCACTGCATCAAATTCAAAAAAATAGGCGCCGTTGAAAAGAGAATTCGATGACCTTTAAAATGAGGTATCGCTTGACCCCTACTGCCATTTAAGATTTAAGGGTTGGAGCTTACCCCCGCGAGAGGGTTGAAGTGACAACATTGAAAATATGTGCAAAAGATTTCCCCCTCCGAATAAAAATCGACGGGTCCGAGCGATTTTTTTCAATAAACGATGAATACGAGATATCGACCTTGTTTCGTTTTCATTTCGTAATTCATTTTATGTCAATCCTGTCAAGCCATTTTAATTAATGTCATTTTTGATCCGATACAAGCAACGAAGCAACTAATAAAATCAATTCCTATCTGAACTCCTAAACCAGTTGGCGTCAATCGGAAACGTAAAAACTTCAAGCAACATCATCCAATCAACTGCTCAAAAAAAAAACACATAAGGCTTGTGAAATAACTTTTTCCTTATTTCACAAAATCTTCTCGATACATTATAAATGAAAACGTTTTCAGTTCAGTTCAAATATTAAAAAAAATATTGCATCAAAAGACATTTAAATATTGTCCGATGTAAAGTTACTCATTTAACGAAACGCTCCTGGATCAAATACCAAAACCTTAAAACGATATCAATAAAGTTGTGACATGACATACCGTTAAGTAAAGTAGGTAATCGCTGAGGCGTAGACGTGGGACGGCTGTTCATCAGCATGGAAATGGAACCATTAAATTCTTCACGGAATGCGATAAAAAGCCCCAAAATATTCGGCGGACCACGTGTTGTATTAAGTAATTATTGCATGTGTTATAAACGCCGCACACACACAACTGAAAAAATTACTAGGTATTAGACTTGGTCTGTAGACGGGCCGTGCGACGCTGGTCGCGATGTTTTCTCAGCGTTGGTTCGAATTTTGTCGCGCCTTAGCGCACACATGTTTTACATTCATTTTTTCGATTGTGACAGAACCACGTTTTTTTTTTTTAGCTCGGTGGGCGTTAGTTTCTCTAATTTAATTAACGACTCATTATGGCCTACCCAAGTCGTCTTTGATCCTTACTTTTTAAAATTTTGATTTGGGGGCTTATATGAATATTTATTGCAGCAAAGGCTTGGAGCTTGGTTAATCCCAGGACGGATGCGTTAAATCTAAGATTTGCAAGAAGCCAGTGGTAAAAGCTCGAAAACTAGTCGTTTTATTTCAATTTAGTACTCTAATCAGCATCAAGCGGTAAATCCCAGTATTTGTATTATAAATAGCTCGAACCTCGAACTATTTATTAATTATTTCATTTTCTAATCAGTCGCGTTTTGCATATTAGCCCAAAGTAACCCATTGGGAGTTCGTACTCGTTGCGAGGATTTGGCCAAATTTATTAGGCATTATACTTTAATTGATAATTCAGTTTTACCTGGGAGCTGCTATCTACTAAGCGGTTAGTAGCTTTCCGGATTTACCATAGACAAATTCTAGGATTTACTGTCTGTCACTGCTAAGATTGCTATATTCAAGTTCCAATGTTGGTGCGTATACTTGCGTTGATTGTTGGTTCTAGATTGTATTTTCGAAATACCTGTGAACTCAAGGCGCATTTTAAAATTACTCCCTTTTCTGACCAATTCAATCGTTTAAATACATCCTCCAAAGCAAGGGTCAATAGCTTAGTACCTAGAGGGCTGGTATTCTCCTCTTCAACGCTTTTATTCGATTGAGAAGGCTTAATTTTCTTTTGGTTGTTTGAGTTGTCAACTGTATATACCTTTAGCGAAGCCTGCGTTTGTGCATTGCCCCAACTACGTCAGAAGGTTTCTGAAAAACAGAAAAATATGATATCATGCTCAATAAGAATTGTCACCTTCAATGAGTGGTCAGGTATCGAATAACCTTATCTCATCATCATCATCATAGGCGTTCACTCGATACCGAGTAGCTATGATTTTCTTCTATTCTATTCTTATTGTCGTCGATTGTGCGTTTTCTGATGAGCTATAAAAATCAATTCTAGAGCAGCATACTCTTCCACACGTTTGGCACACCCAGTCTCTGGAAGCATTGTCTCCTCCTTTGTTCTCTCGCTCCTTCCTGCTTCCTGGGTCATTATTCTTGAAGAAGGGGAGCGACGCTCCCAGGAAAGCGAGTGTTACGTCTTCCTCAATGATATGCAAATGATAATATAAGTGACAAAGACAGAACACTCATTCTCCCGGGAACGCTGCTCTCTTTTCTCAAGAATGAGGACCCTGCGCGCGGTCCCTCTTTTTGGTCTCGTGTCCGCGTCGCTATTTCCCACCTCCCAGTTGCTGGTATCGATGGGGCACTTTGCCATATTTTCTTCTAGAACATCTTTGTAGCGTTTTTGTTGATCTCCTTGATTTCTTTTTCCCTCTTTCAGGTGACTGTAGAGAATTTGTCGTGGAAGACGTGTTTCGGGCATGCGAACGAGGTGACCTGTCCAGCGAAATTGGTGCTTAATGATGATGGCTTTCAGGCTAGTTGTTCCTCTAAAACCCTAATGTTCGTTCGTCGGTCTTGCCATTTAATCCGTAGGATCCTTCCTAGCCATCGCTGGTGGTATTTCTAGTTTCTAGGCTTCTAGGCTTTTTATGTGTCTTCTGCAGGTGGTCCATGTTTCGCAGCCATATGTAAGTATTGGTATCCCAACTGCATTATAGACGCAAAGTTTGGTTTCAGCGCTGATGTCAGGATTGTCGAAGACTCTCTCTAGAAGTCGCCTGAACGCCGCGCTAGCACACTTCAAGCGATGCTGGATTTCAGCGTCCATGGTTGCATTCGCTGACACATGGCTTTCAAGGTTTGGGTAGTTAAGCTAGTTTGGTAAGCTACGTTCTGCAAAGAATGGTCATTTATAGTTATATTTGGGGCTTGGCGATTAATATCTGGTGCGAGTTGGTGCAGAATCTGCATCTTGTTTAAGTTGATCTCTAGGCCGATTCTGCTGTATGCCTGAAATCTTCCTGTGTTTTGGCCATCACGACGTTATCATCCGCATATTAAAGTTTCGCTGTCGATACTTTCGTCTTGGATCGTAATCTGTATAGGTTGAATAAGCCGCCAAGTCTGTACAGGATTTCCCAGTATTTCCCTGACGGCAGGTGACCCTCGACAAGGTGAAGTATGGATCCTGTGATTAGAGAAAGGCATCGAATAACCTTATCCAAATCCTGCCGGTTCGTAGGGCGAACCAGTTACAAAACACAAAAAAAATCTATTTGAAATAAACCAAGTATGCTAAAATAGCCGATAAGGCACGTCGAACTTCCTTCCGCCGATAACTGCTGACTAAATGAGAATACCGTTAACGTAGAAGAAATAACACCTGGCTTTGTTGATGGCGGTCACAGGCGATATTTATTTTACTGATAGGTATCCCTCCATTCATCTAGTTTTCTGTTCTGGTGTTGTGATAACTTTTATGAGGAGCTTGTACAAATACGACTGTCTATTAATGCCGGTAGTTTTCATTCATTTAAAATCTCACAATAGTCCAAGTAATCATTGAACACTGTTTTTAGACTATCTATCATTCTCATGTCTCTCGTCGATGCAGGGTACTTTGTTCTTTTTATGTCCTTTAATGCCTTTAGAAGAGGTGCCGTTTTGAGGGGAGTTAAGGTTGGTCTTCAGAATCAACATTCGGGAGTTTTCCTGCAGATAGATTTTCTTCGTTATTGGGGTAATTGATGTTTTGTGCTTTGTATAGGTTTCAGTAATATTGTTCGAATGGAGTTTAATAGTTCTTTTCTGTTGATTGATAAAGTCGACCTGTTACTTTGTCCTTTGCTCTCGGAATTATACCCCGATATTGAAATTATTGTCAATGACTCATGCCACTTGCCAGTCTTGCCACTAACAACGTTATATCAAGTGAGCGGCATCCTAATAAAGTCGAATACTTGTACCAGGCCAATAATACCATTTTTATCGACAATAATTTTGTACTCTGGGTAAAGTTTTCACTTCTTCAGTTTATTTTTACTTGCTACCAACACGCTTTTTTTAGTGCTCTGGTTATATTATGCGTAAGAGTGTTTATGTACGTTTGAATGCTTAATTTTTATTTTGGTAGGTTCCAGTGGCGTAGCCAGGATTTTGTCTTGGGGGAGGGGGCAAATTTGCAGGAAGCGTCTTTTGCG